GCTATATCTTTTGATAGCCGGGCACCATCAGCTTTCTTCACCACATTTGCTTATTCACCCGCTTTGTCTTCAGCGGTTGAACACACTAACCTTTTTACTCAATGATATTTTCAACTATTTAATCATAATAGTATTGATTAGAAAAAACCCAAGTAGCACCAAGCTGTATGCAAAACTACAGATTTCCAAACTTAAGAACAACTTAAAGAGTTTCTGAGACACCAAATCTCTGTTTTCTGAACTATGAGGTCAGCATACCCATTTTTGTATTGGGGGGGGGGAGGAGATTCCCTTTGCCTTAATGAAGACCTAGTCTCTCACTTAACTCTTGAAACCTTTTCCTGGGCCCTGAAGAGCTATATCAGGTTCAACAATTTAATTCTTAATCCTTTCCCAAGCATTAGACAATTAAAGCCAATGAGAAGTTGGCATGGACTTTTAGGTAATAGGCCATACTGTACAGATAGGGAATAAACACTACTTTAGAAACGTCACATGTATTTTTCCTTTTTCTTAAGCTTAGACAGTGTTATGTTTATTAAGGAATAAGCCTTTTGTAAAAGGATATATCTTTGCCAGTTTCATTCTCTACTTCCACATCTTCCATGGACTCAAAGTACTGACTCCAAGAAACAGGGGAAAAGTCCCGCTTTCTTCCAGGGCTAAGGGGAGAAAAAGATACATTTCAAGTAAAAAGTATTTTACACGAAAAAAACAAAGACAACTTTTACAACAAATATTAAATGTAAATATGAAATGAAAACAATTATGTCTAAAAAATGTCTTTAAAATCCATTTAAGAATGCTTTTAAAAAATTGATTAGATAAATCAAAATCAACAATAAATCAGTGCCCTGTATACATTCATCACAGAACATGCCAGCTTTCTCTCCTTGCTCTTGCTCTAGGCTTACCCAGGTCCTCTCATCCCATTTTAATATTCCTGCTACAACTGGTTCTTCACACTTTCAATCCCTCACACCTTCCATACTTGTCATTTACTACACAAACAGCACAGAACCTTCACGGAGGACAAAATAGGAATGTCAATACTCTGATTCTCGAGGAACTTATCCAAAGATATGCTCACACAGAAGTAAAATGACTTGTCTAGTCAATGTTGGAAATAGAGTAATACTGGAAACAACCAAAAGTGTTATCAGCAGGCTAAATCAACTGTGGTACACAGAAAAAACACAATTCAGTTATAAAAAAAGGAGGAAAAATTATTTATAGACAAATGACATTGTTTATATATGGATATGGGAAATAAACAAAATATACATATTATAATTTGGGGGAAAATAATTGCTCAAAAATGGGGGTGTATATATGTCAAAAGGTACCAGCCATCACTATAATCACTTTGAGAACATTCTCGGCACCTAAATAGTCATCTTGAATTTTCAGAAGTCACGGTTTCCCTTCCCAAGTCTGCCAGCTCCTGGCCACGATGGGTATGCATCTGTCTGTAAAAATACTCCAATCCCACAGAGTTCACACGCGCCTGGTTGGCTCAGGGGGCCATGAGCTGAGCTGCTAATCACAAGGTCAGTAGCTTGAACTTATTAGCCACCCCACAGCGTGACTACCTACTCTTGTAAGCGCTAAGGTTGGGGAAACCCAAAGGAGCAGTTCTACCTTGTCCTACAGCAGGGGTGGGTCCTCAAACCTTTTAAACAGGGGGCCAGTTCACTGTCCCTCAGACCTGTTGGAGGGCCGGACTATAGTTTATAAAAAAAAAACTATGAACAAATTCCTATGCACACTGCACATACCTTATTTTGAAGTAAAAAAACAAAACAAGGCAAAAACACCCGGCGGGCCAGATTAATGTCCTTGGCAGGCCGCATGTGGGCCGCAGGCGGGGCTGTTTGAGGACCCCTGTCCTACAGGGTCACTTCAAGTCGGGATTCACTTAATGACATTGAGTTTGGAGTAAGACACTCACAAAGTGGAATCATACACTATTTGTCCTTTAATGTCTGACGAATTCATTTAGACTATGATTTCAAGGTTAATCAATGTTATAGGTATGTATCGAACTACATTCATTTTTTATATTTACATCTTAATATTTCAGTGTATGTCTGTACCATGTTGTACTTATCCAACCACCTATTAATGGATGCTTGGATTGTTTCTAAATGGCAAAAGAATATAAATATTGGTGGAAAAGTCAAAGTAATACAAATAGTGGTTAAAAAGTCAAAATAATATAAATATTGGTTTGACAAGCCAAAAAGGGATGGAGAAAGGTCATATTAGATTGGGGGCATCTTGGCATGAGGAGTTATAAATCCAAATAGGGCAAGTTGGACATTTAGGCAAGGGGTGCTCTGGCATGTGAAATGTCAGCGGTCAAGTGGAATAGAGTAGTTATGTGTGGGATGAGGTGGTAGGATAGAACTAGAAGGGAAAGTCAGAAGCTGGGGAGGGAAGGATATTCCAATGGGGAGTAGGAGATATTTGATCCATATGGCTGTTCAAGGGAACTTCAAAAAGTATATGGAAAAATGACATTACTTTTTAGTTCCATTTGTCGACGAACTTTTTGAAGCCCCCTCATATGTAAATACAAGCTGAAACCAGGTTTCTCACTACTGAAAAAAAGATTTCATAAATATGGAAAAGAAGAAAACTAGAATGAACTCTGTGAAGATGGATTCAAATTAAATGTATGGTATGAACATATTTCAGTATATTGCTATACTTTGGAGATAATCCAAGTTTTTTTCTAGAACTCACAACCAGCCCGAGCACTGAGCAGAACGCCTGCAGCCAGGCACGTGCCGCCAGGAGAACCGGCGCAGCAAGGTGAAGCCACACAGTCAGGTGAATCAACGCAGCAAGGCGAGGCTAAGAGAACCAGTGTAACCAAGCAAATCGTGTATTTTGTTTTGTTTCCAGTGCCTATGTTATATTTACACTTTACCGTAATCTATTAAGGTGCCCTGGTTGTAGTTAAGTATTGGGCTGCTAACTGCAAGGTCAACAGTTTGAAACCACCAGACGCTCCGAGGGAGAGAGAAGAGCTTTCTCCTCCTGTTAACAGCTAGTCTCAGAAAATGACAGGGGAACTTCTGTCCTGTCCTGTAGGGTCGCTTTAAGTCTGCATCAACTCAATGGCAGTTTTGTTTTGTTTTGTTTTGTTTGGGGTACTCAATTGCATGTGCAATGGCATCACAGAAAGGTTTAAAATATTAGTAGGAGTTAAGAAAATGTGACACAAGAACATGAATAAGCACATGCTGTTGAAAAAATAGCACCCTTCAACTTGTTCTCGGCAGGGTTGCCACAAGCCTTCAATCTGTTTGAAACAAATAAATAAAGCAGTATCTGTAAAGTACAAGGAAACAGAGTATACCTGTAATCACAGACTGCCAGAGTCAATTCTAACTGAGAGTGACCCTGTCGGGCAGAGCAGTGCTGCTCCACAGGGTTTCCAAGACTGTAAAATCTTTTGGGGACCAGCTGGGGGGAGCTGGAGAGTTTGAACTGCTGATGGTGCTACTAGGGCTCCTGTCTGTATACAATGTAAAAATAATCAATATATTAGCCATAAAACTATTACTTGACGTGAGTGCTTCCCCATCTTTAAATTAAAGCTTTAAAAAGAAAAAAAGGTGATATGTACATAGTTCTTTAATACATCACGTTATTAGGAGGATCTAGGCCCTGAAGGAGGACATACTTGGTCCGTGGAAAAGACTCGAGGAGTTGAATTGCACTGGGCGTTACATGGTCTCAAGCACAGGAACTATTTTGTGAGGCTGATGCAGGCCCACGCAAGTGTTCTGTTCTGTTGTATAGAGGGTTGCTATGAGTTGGAACAGATTTTATGGCACCTAATAAAACATATACGTACATATATATGTATGCACATATTTATGCACACAAGAGCATTACAAAGTTTATGGGAAAATTCCACTCACTTTTAATTCCATAGTTTCATAACACCTCAGTCAAAAAGTAATGCTACAAAGATTCATATAATATGTTTCTTCCAAACAAAACAGAGTCAAACCTGTCGCTGCCATCAATAGATGACTGCAAGCCAAATGCTCTCACTAATACAATTGTCTTGGTCTCACAAGAGTGCCTTAAAAAAAAAGGATACTTTTTTTGCTGCCATAGAAAAAAATTGACAAGGTCAGGGCTAATATAAAATTGTTAACAACACTCAAGTGGACATCCTTCCAAATCGCAGAAGATTAGGACTACAACAAGTTTAGGGAATCCTCCCCCATGTAAATCAATGGCTTCCCAATGGATCTAGCATTAGAAAGGTGAGGAAGACCTCAAAAATGAGCCAAATCAACATGACCATAGCATAATTAACAACCTTTTCCAAAACCCTAAAATAAAAAGGGTGAAAAGATTAATGCCAACTTCTCTAGAATAATCTGGGTTTTTAAAGCAAAAGCACTATTAAGCCTCTGGTGAACCCCCTCTGCTCACAGACCAGTGATGTGAGGAGCCTTGCTATCATGCTGAGTGCACTGGAAAGTGGATCACTGTGGTTGTAGTTAGGTTAAAATTGAACACATCATTGGACACCTTATCATTGGACCTCCCTTTTGACCCATTTTAAAATTTGCTCTAGTTTTTATATTTCCTGCTTTGTTTTTTATTCAGATTTTCCTGTTCTACTTCGCTATTATTGTTAGTTTTTGTATGTCCCTCTGTATATGAAATCCAGGATAGGGATATCGACTGACAGTAACTAGATTAATGGTTTCTTGGGGGTATGTCAGGGAAGGTTGGGGGCATGTCAGGGAAGGCTGGGGGTATGTCAGGGAAGGCTGGGGGTATGGAGAGCTAATAATCATTAGTACAAGAAAGAAATTGATTGTGGTGATAGTTGCACAACTCTTCGTGATATGACTGAACTACTGAATTTTATGATATGTAGATTATGTGCCAATAAAACTGTTAAAACACACACACACACACAACCACTGAAATGTCATTAATGAAGCAAGGACAGAATACAAGACTCTGAAGTTTTATAGAAGCTAATTGTAGCTGCTCACCCTTATAATCTCTGTGTGACATTACACAGCAATCAGACCTTATGTAAGCTACAATTATGCCTAGCTAGTAGCATAGCAGGAAAAAGACAAGCAGGTTTAGGGTCAGAGTTTAAAGTCAATGAAGTTCACATAGAATCCCCTACTAAAGTGTATTTTAAAACCAATAGCCAAATAATTTCATCCCCAGACCAACCTGCATAATCATGATTAGAAAAAAGTCATAGAAAACAGCAACTATCTCTTTTATTGTGAATTAGGTGAGGGCTCACATATTAGATCATTGTTTTTCCAGTCATCATTGTATACAACTTATCAAGTCTCCAAGTCTTACTCTGTTCTCTCCGCCCACCCCCCTTTCCCCGATCACCTTCATGTAATACATCATCTTCTCCTTCACCAAAGTTTATACTATCTACTTTCTAGCCTATTGAACAGCACCTATCTTTAAGGAAATTATTCTAGAGCCTCTGTCTAGTTCGAAAGGAGTTCTGGTGGCATAGTGGGTTAATGTTGGGCTGCTAGCTGCAAGGTCAGCAGTTCAACCCACTAGATGCTCCAGGAAAGATGTACAGCTCAGAAACCATAGGGAGCAGTTGTGTCCTAGAGATTCCCTATGAGTCAAAAGT